ACACGTCATCGCACTGTAAGCGTAAGTTCTACTGTAACAGAATTAATCTCATGAAAATTTCACAAAAAATAAGATTAATACTACGACAGTTTGTTTTTATTCCATTGAATATTGAATATTACCTGGCATTCTTCAAAATTCAGGACAACGAAGCGCAATTCTCCTTACTTTCTCATTGCGCCCAGAAAAATGGTTCATTTGAATTAAATAAACTTTATTTGAATCAAATAAATCATTTATTTGATTCGAATAAAGCATTTTTCTGCGTGTGCACTGCACGATAATATTTTATTCTGTTATTTTCCCCGATATCTTCGTGATAAAATTTATCATACATTTTTCTCCTTGTCAAAATGAAAGCTGATGTGAACTTTACCGAGAATAGTATACTCCGCCAGACTCGATAGTCAGATTCAAGCTGTGAATGGCACATGCCCAGTAGCATACACATCGACTCAGAGCACGTGCCCCTCCTGTAAATCCCCCCCTCCGAAAAACGATCCGACTCAACTTCCGAGATCGACCATCGCAAACTTTCAAACTCACCCCCGACCCACCTGACTTTCCGAACATCCGCAACGGCGAATGTTACGTCACATTATTGATAAGGAAACTGGCGCGGACAAGGGAAATTACCGAGCTCCAATGCATCCACTAATCCCCCTTTCACCACCGATGAAACAATATCGAAATTAATTCCACCTCAAACCTCCATAATAATCCTCGAAAACTTGCGAAACACGAGGCGAAATCACGCTGTAAAATGATGAAAAAAATACGATGGATGAGGTTAAAACAATCATTGCTTTAATACACATGCAAGTTATCGGCTGGAGTGTGATGGCGCGAGTCACGTAAAATTTCACACGTAAATTGCGGAAGTTCCCTCTCTCTCGGTTGGTAGGTTGAGTTTTCGATACAAACCATAAATGGCTGTCGAAAGGGTAGACACGATAAAATCCCCGTGCAGGATTGAGTGTATAACCCGCTCTCCTCTGCCATTCGCCGGTTGTGTCTCGTCGTTTCAGTGTTTTTCTCTTTCCCACTCACTGAATAATAAAATCCCCGAAAGCCTCCCCACGTATATATACACATTTTGGGCCCTGTTTCGCGTATACGCAATGCGTCCATGTAACTCAGGTATTTTCTTTTCGGCTCGCGTCGAAAAACAAACAGTTGAAACTGGGTTGTCCCTCATTAAGTTGGCACTACTCGACGGTCACTCTACTCCCTTTACCCCCTCGCCCCCCCCCCCTTCGGCCTCTTTCCCTTTATACCGAGTCCCTTCAGAGCCTCCTGTACTTTGATTCTCTTCTCTGGGATTGCCCCGAGGGTAAGAAGGGCTTTTCGTTCGTATTATATATCCCGTCGGTCTCTCGGGACCATTAAAACGATTCCCGCTGCCAATGCACCCGGGCTCCCCACCCCTCTCTCTCTCTCAACCTCTCGATCTCCCTCTCTTTAGTAACCGGCTTGGAGTAAGACGTCACATATGCGAAATGCATTCGATATACGTGTCACGCTCACAATGCGACGGAGCTGGTGCGATCCAAGGTTTTAAATGTCTTGCGACAATGCCACCAACCACCTGACAATGCACAGAACTGAGACAGAGAGAAAGGGTGGCGTTCAACACGAATATGCATTGGATGCTCTCGCAATCGACGTATCTCATCGCAGAAGTGTGTTAACGATCGTCATGTGCGTACTGAAAAAGAAATGGGTGAAAAACCAATAATAGGATCACGGGTATTAGTCGAGGGATTACGGAAATCCCTCGAATGCAAATCTGACTCACCTTCCCGCCGAACCCCGATCTATATGTGTAATTTCTTTTTTGCGTGCCAGATACAAATCGAGTTTTGTAACGTTTTTTTGTGTTTTTGTATCATTCCAGATAACCCAAACTGCTGAGTAACACTCAAAGCTGACTCTCGAAGACCACAAGGAGTCTGTGGTCGAGCCTGGGCGGAGGAGGTTTAGTAATCATAGTGTGAGTATTCGATAAATTACGGTTGTGATGGTTTCCATGAATTTGAATAATTAATGGGGAATTTTTGTTCACCAGTCATTGGCCGGAAGTGGAGGTATTTCAGTCCCTGGGGTCCGGTATGACCTCACACAACTAGAATTTTTATTTAATTCGAGTGATATCGTCGATTTTAGAATATTGAAGTCATTCATTGTGTTTTCTATTCCTTTGAGAATTCAAGGAAATTGAGTTTTTCGTATTCGGTGATCATTGATATTCCGATGACAACTTGAATTGAAACTCATTGGGAAAATTAAGCATAATATGGGGCTGAATTTTCTGTAGATAGAAAGTTCAGAACAATGCAACCAGAGGAATTTGTTTGAATTTAATAAATTTTACTTGAATTAAATGAATGGGTTTATTGAAATAGCTTGTAATAAAACTTTCGCACAGAATTAAACTTTTTTTATGAATGGTTTCATTCATATCAGATGAATAGTTTTAAAATATATCAATAAACGTTCCCTTGATACAAATAAAGACTTTATTGGAGAGGAATTTATTAAAATTATTCGTTTTATCGAGGATTTATTTGGAATGAATGAATTATTCATTTCATATTATTAAACCGTTTTTATTGAAATAAATGTATGATTTCACTAATTTCCAACAAAAATATTTTTGAAGAGAACAGATAAATTTCAAATAAATACTTTTGTTTCGATTAAAATGCATAATCTCTTTGGATCTCGTTGATTCAATTTTACCTATGCTCAATGATTTCGATGGAATATTCCAAAAAATTGTCCGATTTGTCAAAAGGCGACCTAAACCAATTGTGAAAAAGTGTATAGCCGTTTCGTGGAAACTGATAGATGACAAAAATTTCAAGACATTTCACTTGAAACTTCAGAGGTAATTTTTCAACTCTGCACGTTTTCCTCTTACTAAATAAGAACAGAGTAATAGAAAAGAAACGTAGGAGAAATAAGAACGGTTCAATCCAAGGGAGTTATATGGTAGAGCCAGAGCGAATTAAACGGGCAGAAAATCTTCGCTCTCATTCTCCCCACTGGTGAACCGGTGAATGGCACGATCTTAACACGAAGAACACGTTGGTTGAAGGGGGTAACTTTAAATTTACCCAGCACTCCAGTACATCGTACATTTTCACGAGTTATAAGATCGCGATCCAGTTTTGTTTATGCGATGCTCGAGATACCGGAGGGTGGCCCTTTTTTCACTGAGAAGGAGGGGGTAGTTTTTCCACCTGTATAACACGGACAAATGCAACGTGCGCGACACACACGTAAATTCAGTTGCACGATACACACTGCCCTCGACCAAATTTTTTTATTCCCCGAAACCGCAGACTCAAACCCCACTCATAACACGAGGTAGTGTATCCATAGCATATCCTCCACTGGATAAATAGAGAATAGAGAATAGCGTGCTGGGTTGACGGGAATTTTCAAAACTTTATCGCGTCATATTTCACACCCGTGTGAAATCCCTTCTGCAAGACTATAAAACGTGGCGCAATAAAAAAGCCTCAAAAATTCCCCAAGGCCCAGAGGAGAAAAAGCATCACGAGAAAATTTCGAAATTTTCACCGAGGTAATCTTGACTTTTCTCAAGCGATAAGGGACACGTGGCGAATGAGGGGGGGGGGGCTGCGCGCTATTTATTTAAAAATGAAAGAAAGAAAAAGGAGGAGAGGATGAAATAAAAAAGCACAAAACCGCTCGGACAATCCTCACCGAAAGCACTATACACATTATGACATTATATTGAATGACATTATATTATGTGACATTATATTGAATAAAAAATCCTCAAAATTCCCTCAAGACCCGTAGGAGAAAAATCATCACGGGAAAATGTCGAAATTTTCAGCCAGATAATCTTGACTTTTCTCAAGCGATAAGGGACACGTGGCGAATGGGGGGGGGGGGGCTGCGCGCTATTTATTTAAAAATGAAAGAAAGAAAAAGGAGGAGAGGATGAAATAAAAAAGCACAAAACCGCTCGGACAATCCTCACCGAAAGCACTATACACATAATGACATTATATTGAATGACATTATATTATGTGACATTATATTGAATAAAAAATCCTCAAAATTCCCTCAAGACCCGTAGGAGAAAAATCATCACGGGAAAATGTCGAAATTTTCAGCCAGATAATCTTGACTTTTCTCAAACGATAAGTGACACGGGGCGAACAGGGGGTGGGGGGAGGGGAAATGTCGCGCTATCTGTTTAAAAACGAAAGAAAGAAAAAGAGAGGAGAGGATGAAACAAAAAAGCACAAAACCCCTCTTACAATCCTAACCTAACGGTTACCTCTCTCGCGCCGGTTCTCTCTCTGAAGGAACCAGGCAAGAGATACCAAAGGCACGTTCGCCGGTCGTCGTCGAGGCTGAAAAAGAGACGATCGGGAAAAGGTTTGGATGGCTCTGAGGTATAGGCAAAGCGTTTGAGTGTGAGAGAGACGAAAGAGGCGAGGTAGAATCAAGGGAGAGGGATGTTAGGTGGAGATGGACTGTGAGGTGAAAGAGGATGCCAGCTTGGGTAGACGGTAGGAGTATGGAAGAGAACCGAAAGTACAGGAGGAAAGCGCGCAGGAGCTTCGGGTATTCGTATAGTTGGGTTACATTAGCGCGGGTGGGAGAAGGAAAGACTGGGGACGGAGAGCGCTCACAATCGGGCTTTGTGGAGTGGCAAGAAGAGCGACGAAGAGGAGCTGTGTGCACGGGGATGGTCGGGTGGCCGATGCTGAAGGGAAGAGGGGCTGCAGAGAGGTAGAAAAGCGTGTGATGGAGAGAGATAGGGGGATTGGTGAGCGTCGAAGTGCGAGAGGAAGAGAGAGGACGAGGGGACGACCGGGTCGAGCGGCAACGCCGGATTACCTTCCAGCCTGATGGGGGGAACCATCCGTACGTAGCCGAGTGGTGGTGGCCTTGTGGTGGGGATGACGACGCTCTCTTGCCCCGATGGCAGTTAGTTTCGCCGCTGACGTCGTCGGGAGCGGATCGAGCTCAATCGTCTTGTAATACGCGAGATTTTTATTGTCAAGAGATTGAAATTTATAAAACGTACGATACGCGTGTAGAGGTGTATTTAATTTGGAATTCCATATTTTTGTTTATTTTTACCAAAGTTTTGATTGATTAGTAACTGTCTACCGACAACATCGATGATACTTGTTGCGGTATTACTCTTGGAGAACTAGGAAATTAACGATTGACCAGAGGATAATTTTTTGTTGAAACCGAGTGTGTTATGCAGAAGTGATCACAGAGTGTGTCCAGTGCCCTAACCACGCTGTGGAGCGTACAAAGTTTATTTATTTTATATATTTGTTTTGGTTCTTGGTTTTATGGTTTATCTGCGATTAAGTACGTACGAGGATTATAATGTGTTTGGAGCAGTGAATGTTGTTGATACTTATAACCAACAGACGTGAATTGGTGACGGCATTTAAGTTGAAGTGAAAGAGCAAAGTGCCTGCGGCAGGCATCAAGGGCCACCGAGAGGGAATATATATAATTTTTTGCCCTCTCTCTGTACGCTTGCCACTGCAGGAAGCCCTCCACCAACATACGAATACTCTTTTTTTGCTAAAATCCCGACACTGTCTGGATTGGAGCTGTGGTCCACTGACTGTCCGCTTGCCGTTGAATTTTCAATTGCCATTGAATCATAAATTTTTTTTTCCTGGTGAATCAACCCTCTCACTTCGCCCAACATTCCCGACCACTTGGGCTGAATATTTATCTCTGCAAAAAGTGCGTGAAGATTTGATATTAAACGTGTGACAGTGTTGCTTGGTTTGTTGTACGATATGTGCGAAATTTTTGCCGCCGGATTCACTCAGCCCGTGAGTACCGTATTTTTAACATTATTAGACTAGACATTGTGCTCCAAAATTATTTTCATGGAAAAAATCATTCTTTTTGCGATAAAATCACTTCCTCGTGAGAAGATCACAACCTCTACAACCTTGCCTATTGTTATTCCCTCGTCTTTCCCGCCTGCTCCGAAATGAAAGATAAGAAATAACAAAAATTCGTCCACGTGTGACTGCACTGCTGATTCTCAAATAATACCAAAGTGCTCTCAAATAAAAAAGTCCTTGGCCCGATGATCTCACAATCGACACCGATGCTAGTATTCACTCGCAAGTTGTGAAGTTTGCTCCGAAATACACACTTCCGACCACACAGTTATTTGCTCACTGTTACGTACAACAGTGAATGGTAAATACGTCTGGGGCCTTTTATGTTAATTTTTCCACACGGGTGTTCAATATAATGTATTCCGGTGCCCATGTAAATAACAGTGTAGTTTTAATGGACAATAAAAGTATTCCACCGTGTTAGCGAAAAGAAATATATATAATATGAGAGAGTCTGGTTCCGACGCTCAAAGCATTCGGGCAGTTCTGACGCTCCTCCGGTGTATTCCACACACGGGTTTTACTCGAATAAAAAGGGCCCACCACTCGGCCCTCGGATCTCATCCTATACGTCCAACTTTTTTTTCACAACTATCTCCTTCTCTCATTCTCCTTTTCGTCCATTTAACCCGAGAGAGCGAACACCAGGTGTCTACCGTGATACTTGAGAGATGAGTTGACGCCTGAGTTTCATGTCCAATTCTCCATATTTTTTTTTCTCTCTTCGCCCTCAATTATTTTATTTTCACCGACTGGCGGAGGGGTGGGAATTACCGGAATAGAGAAGAATTATAGAATTGTCTTGTGGACCTTTTCACAATTGAAGGGAATTGTCACTGACGCCCACTGCCAGGGGGTCAAGTTGAATAAAAACAGTTCCGGCAGGTCCATTCAGTCAATCACGATGATAACAACTGTCTACTTGTGCACGTGTGTACGTGCATTTTATATCAGTGGTACAGCGTTACAGTTTCAATGGTGAAGCGTCTCCCATTTCCCCCCCAGCGTGTGTCTACGGTATTATCCATGCAAAATTATATCCATCCGGAGCAGACGTATATGTACGTTTGGAGCAAACGTTCACGTTAGCGGGAGGGGGAGGGGAAATATACGCGGCGTTGAACGAAGAGTGATGAAGTGCACCTAGTTTCCGCATTCCCATCGTCAATCGATCGATTCGACAGACACTTGATACGAGTACATCGTGTCTGCATCGCACGAGCCAACGAGGTTTGTCTCTCCATTGACAGTTGGTATTTTTTTTATTCATTGGGTGTACCACTGAGAAATAGCAAGAAGTAGAGGAACAACTCCTCTGAATTCCGATTATTCCTGTGCGATGTAAAAAAAGGAAGAGAGAGGGGGAAAAAACGGAGTAAACAAAACATGTGTACAAATGGTTTAGCGCGTGTTCGTATGTCACACTCAATATCGCATGACGCTTCGTATTTTGTTCCCAGTGATACTGGTTAGTTTTGTATAGAGATACAAAACTAACCAGCGAATTTTTTCGGTTGACAGAGGTGGAAAATAGAATGGAGAATAAAATTGCGGGGGAAAAAAATCGATGACTAATCACAATTGACAGCTGACACGCACAGTAGTGAGGCATCCAAATCGAGAGTATAATATCGGGATTAACTCGAATCACTCTGTTATTGTAATCTTTCTTTGTACTATGGTTCAATCAACAACAGGGGGGGGGGGGGGGTAAATACTCTCTTTATTTTCACAGTAAAATTGTTTTGTTTGGAATACCGTGAGGAATTTTGTCGAACTTCGGTCATCGCGTCATCTGAATTTTCGATGTTGTGAGTTTCAATCCAATTTCAAATGAAAACGTTCACAAAATTTCTCATTCATTTTGAAAATTCAAGAAAATTGGGTTTTTTTATGTTAATTAATCATTGCTTTTTTAATGAAAGCGTGAATTTTTAAATTCATCCTAAAAATTGAACATCACATGCAATTCAATTTTCAATAAATTGAGAATTCAGAAGAGTTGTTGCCGAAATTTTCAAAAATTTCCATGTTTTTCAATGCCGCATGGACCTGAAAATCTAGAATTACTTGAATATTCAAGAAATTAACTGATTCGTCAATGACGAAATATACAGAAATTTATGTAACTTTGTCGTCAAAAATTCCAAGCTCTTCCACTTGAAATTTCAAGAGTAATTTTCCAACAATATTCCCGCTGTTAAAAATTTTTGACTTTTATGGGATTTTCAGGGAACCTAGAAATTTTCTAATTTTCCCCGCTACATTGAAGTTAATGTCTCTCTCCTGAGAACTACTAATCAACTGTCCATGAAATTCCAATTGTTTCCAACCGTGTATATCGATACCTGCAACCGGTGATCCTTCAAAACCCGCGGTGTTTCTCCTCTCTCTCTCACTTCTCTCACTTGTCGATAAACTCTGCGTACGTAATGGTAGAAAAATTACTGCGATTAAGGCCAAGAAAGCATCCAGGCAGTCCCGCGCGTCCGCCATTTTCTCACAACACCTGCGAATTACCGCGTAATTGCCGCGCCTTCCATCTTCTGGCTATCCGTTCATGGGAACTCGAGCCATTTCATTGTCTAACGCCGCTCGAGAGAAAGAGAGAGAATTAGGGGATAGAGGGACGGTGGGGAGGGGTAAACCTCGTGCACCAGGACTTGGAGGAGTAGGCAGAACCTGTGGAGGTTGGGATTCAATGCCGGTACAAAACTCTTTGCCACATTTTCAAAGGCACGAGGAGTTTTGTATATAATGCTGAAAGTACACCGCGGAATATATACTCGACGTTGGCGGCGTGTCGAGGCAAGAGCGTGCAATAATAATACCCGCGTCGAATCGAAAATTTGAGTGGTGTGTTCTACGTTTACAGCGGAATGCTCTCATTTCTGCTATTTATTTTATTTTTTCATTTCATTTTCCCCTCTCCATCGCTCACCAACTTTTTCCACCACCTTAATTCTCTCCCCTCCCCCATTTTTGCCTGACCATAAGCCGTAAAAACGTTTAAATGCCACATCCCCATGGGGTTCTTCCTTTTTCTTTGGGTAAAGAGTGCAATAAAAAATATTGAAATTCTGGGATCATTTATTGCTCCTCATAACCCATAAATCGGCGTGACAACACTGAGAGGAGAATGCCTCAATTCAAGGTCACCCATTGGTCAAGGACACGGTTTATATTTCATGACGATAATCCTGTCTTCTCCCCCCTTCTTCATACACTATTCACCATTGATTAAAATCCGCATAAGCTGTCTGATCGAAGCGGCCCTCGTAATTACGTGTATATGATCGTACACGTATGTATCGAGTTGTCCGGGTTGCAAGAGATCACCGCATTTTATATGTGCAAAACCAGCACTTGGGGTGTCTTCGGGGCATTTACAGACGCTAAAGCAACACCGTAAAGCAAATAACTACACGTGTCCAATTAGAAACGCAAGGCTACCAACGCGGGGGATTTTACATCAAGTAAAATGCGAAATAGCATCGATGACAAATGCGGTACACCGGGAATATCGAATGTGTGTGCGATGAGACGTTATGACAATCGCCCAAGGGCGCCGAAAAAAAAGCCATAAAAGTGGACGTATATTGCGTTGAAATGACTTTTGGAATATCGGGTATTTGTGCAGCTGAGTGGAATGCAATGGGAAATGATTTCTCGTCGGGAGATTATTGCTCGCAGAATTAAGGAACTGGAGGCTGATAGGAAGGCAAATAGACGAGTTGGTTGGCAGGATGAGGAGCATGGGAGGGGAAAGGAATGAGGATGAGGATGAAATTGACGCGTCGTAATGACGCTTAGCCGAATTTTGCTTCGCCTAGTGTAATTTGCGCGTAATTATCACGGGTAGTATAATATTCCTCGTCGTAATGAACCATTTATATGATTAATAGAGGCTGGCTCCAGAGGAGAATGAAGAGAATCGGGTGTACATGTGTGTTTGCGTGTGTGTGTGTGTGTGAGAGAGAGAGAGAGAGAAGTGGAGCCACACGGTCCAGTGTTGGTGTCTGTAGAGCGGCAAATATACACGCTGAATGTGAAAAGAGAGGGAGCTTGACCAACGCTCGATATATACGGTTCATATCCACTCTCCGCGTTCTCGTATGCTTCGAGGTATGCTATTATCATAATTGCTGCCAATAACGGCCCATGATTGGTGCACTTGACGCTTTTCGGTGTCTGTCTTATCCTTTTTTTTTCGGAAGTCAATCGACACCGAGAGAATCCCCGAATTTTCAGGTGTTTTTTTTTCTCACTGTTGCAGTTTTGGCTCGAGACACGATTTTTTTTTTTCGTGCACTTTTTTTTTCTCCTCATTTTTCGCTAGTTGTGAGTCGATATGTGGAGTGGAGAGTGAGTGCCTGGAGTTGGCTAGTCGTGTGCTGCAGTTTTAAAAAAAGACCCCAGGACAATTAAGTGAACTCTGGAGAGTTTTCAAGTCTATTCTCTCCTCCGTAATTCGTACGTCTTTGCCAGTTTTACTTCGTTGTCGCTTACCCTTGTAGTTGACGCATACTCTCTCTCTCCTCCACTTCCGGTTACCTCGCTCTCTGGCCACTTGTATCTCACACCCACCCTGAAGTCAGTGCTCTTTTCCCTCTTTGCTTCCCAATTCCTCCCTGAGCCCTTGGGGCGGTATATATGTAGGTTGGATGTACACAGAAATACTTGGAAAAGTTGGGCTGCAGCATACGGTGGACCTAACGCCGAGATAAATAAGGAGAAACATCGAAAAGTCCTGTTTTTACCCTCCAGATACCTACCAAACACACTCGTACTCCGTAACCCAGTATGTGCAGTGCACCCCCTGCTCTCTTCTATTCCTGTTCTACCTCGAGGACTTTATTTCTTTATGTTTTTCTTCAATTTTATTTTTTTTATTTTCTTTTTTCGTTTGTTTCGTCGTACTT